CCCCCCACCGGCCCCTCATCACAGGGTGGCTCAGGGCAGGCGGCCTGTTCTCCCCGCGGGACGGTTCAGAGGAAAGTCCAAGAGCCACGGAGCGGGCAGGGATTTCCCGAGGGCGCTGTTTCTTCCCACGCCCAACGGTTCGAGGCTGGGCTCTGCGTGGGAGTCAGCAACGTATCTAGTCCTTCCGTTCCCGGGACCCTCTCAGCTCCCGATCCGGCGGACTCGTAGGTCGAGGAGAAGGGCTTGGATTCCCTTCTGGGAGCGGAGCGGGAGCCAGTGGTTAAAGCAGGTGAAATTAGGAGCCAGGAGTCCTGGGTGTTTCTTCCCACGCCCAACGGTTCGAGGCTGGGCTCTGCGTGGGAGTCAGCAACGTATCTAGTCCTTCCGTTCCCGGGACCCTCTCAGCTCCCGATCCGGCGGACTCGTAGGTCGAGGAGAAGGGCTTGGATTCCCTTCTGGGAGCGGAGCGGGAGCCAGTGGTTAAAGCAGGTGAAATTAGGAGCCAGGAGTCCTGGGTTCTTTTTCCTTAACCACATCCCGGTTCTCTCCTTCCCAGTTGGCTCCGCGGGAGCACGGACGGGGGAGACGCTTTTCAGTTTGTCGGTTTTATTAACTCCGATCTTCTGGTCACTTCAGAGCGGAAGGTAAAAGGAACCGTGTTTTCAGGGGAAGACCTAACAGCCTATAAAACTGGATCAAGAATCCGTGAGTTACCATCGTAGCGCAGGAGACTGGATTCCAGAGAGGGGGTTGATTCTAACCTAGTTTCGAAAGTTAATTTAATACAGGTTGAACCTCTCTAATCCAGAACTCCCGGAGCCTGAAACCTCCGTCGTCCAGAAGGATGAGAGTGAGCCGAGTGTCCACTTTTCCGGGGGGTGGCCAAGTTTCCCGCGGTCCTATAAAGTTTGTTTACAGCCCCCAGACCTGGCTCTTCATGTTCTGGGCTGTTATTTAGCTCTACTGTGCCCTGAAATTGTTTCTCAGAGCCCAGCAAGCAGTGGCCGCGTTGGTAACACTGCTAGACAATGTGAACCACCTGTAGTTTGGCAAATTCTCTGCTTCAGAACCGGCCAGGTCCCGAGGGTGCAGGGCTGGGAAGGTTCAACTTGTATTAATGAAACCGGCGTATTGAATTCAGATTGTTTATTAACTGAAGCTGTCAGTCACCCTCGCTAAGTTAGCAGCAAACCGGGGCACTTGGGTTTCCAATCTGTCGGATAATAGCTGTTTGGAACTTGGTGGGACGGGTCTGAAAATGGAATTTCTGCCCCAGGGGAGGTGCCAAGGTTCCGGTCTTTGTTTGCGCCCCAAGATGGTGTGGCGGAGTGGGGGAGCTGTCCGCTCTGTAACCCAGTGTCCCCCCACTTGCGCTGTGATGTGAGATTCTCACTGACTCCCCCAAATGTGTAATAGCCGAGACACCCCGGCTCAGCCTCCCAGGGAGAGACAAAGGGAGGAGGGCGGGGATCAGCAGCTGGCTGGGGGGAGGCAGTTGCTGTCGGGGAAGCAGGAGGAGTAGAGACTAGGGAGGGAGCTAGATTTGGAGGGGCCCAGTCGCCCCCATCTCAAGGGCGGGGTGAGGACTCCTAGCCCTGGTCACTGTGACCAGATTCCATCTGTGCTGGGCTGTATCCCAGAGAAGCGATAAACTCCCTCAATTCTACGGGCTGGCGGAGTCTGTTCGTGCCACGACGGGGGTGCAGGAGTCGGGGAGACCCCCACGCGCCGTCGCAGATGGGACGACACGGCGAACGCCTGAGAACGCCAGCGGAACAGGGAATGTTGGAGAACGGATTTTTGAGGCACCGGAACGAAACCTTTTGTTGTGAAATGTCTGTTTGAAAGGAAACGCGGCTCTCGCTTTGCCCTTCCCTGTTTCGTTTCGAAGCGAAACCCGTCGCCCCGGATCAACGCTTCGGAGGGGAAAGTTGGGCTTCGATTGCCCCCACATTGACATTTTTCCCATGGAAAATGGATCTTTTTGACAAAACGGCCGGTTCCTTTGGGAAAACTGTTTGGGCGAATAATTTCGACCAGCTGTAGGAGTTATGCAAGCGTTTCCTGCGAACGCCGGCTTCCGCCAAAACAGCCTCTCCCAGGTAATTTGGATTCGCAGCCGAGGTTTGTGTTCTCCCACTCAACCCCAAACACGCAGAGAATGGCCCCAAATGAACCGTGCTATAAATAACTACAGATTCACGCGGGTTCTTGGAATTCTGCCCAAGACGAGCAGCGAGGTTTGACTCGCGCCGCAATGTTTCGACCTTGGCTGACGTACTGTGCCCCGTTCTGGTCCCACGCTCCGAAAAGGATGCTGGAAAATGTGGCAAGTGTTCAGAGCCGAGCAGGAGGAAGGAAAAGCCGGCTCTGGGTGAAATATTCAAATCAAGTCAGACGAGATCCTTCCTGGCCTTAAAATCTGTGACGCTGGTGGCCAGCCTGGCTTCGGGGCCTGCATCCCCGACTTGCAAATCGGTCCTGAGCATCCGGGCCGTAGGCGCATGCCACAGGGCTTCCCTCGGACTGTTTCATGGAGACGAGTAGATGATGCTTTAATCCCAGTCTGTGCCTGCCCGCCCCGGGAGGAGCGGATCTAATGTGGGGGGTTCCTTCACCTCCCAGAGCCAGGCAAACCAAGAGTTTCGGGCTGGCGTGACGTTACCATTTTCTGGCTGGGCAGGTGTGACGGCGCGTCGGGGTTTCCCCGTCTCCTGCACCCCCGTCGTGGCACGAACAGACTCCGCCAGCCGGTAGAACAGAGGGAGTTTATTGCTTCTCCAGGATACAGCCCAGCACAGATGTCATCTAGTTACAGGAACTGGGGCCAGGAGGCCTCAGCCCCCCCCCCTTGAGATGGGGGGTGGCTGGGCCCTACAATCCCAGCCCCCTCCCTAGCTCCT